GCTGCCTCCGTCATCAGAGTCTGAAGATTTCCGTCTTCTGGGTTGTTGATCTGTTTAGTCTGGTCGAGGTTTACCAACGTTTCAGAGGTTATACTGCCTCCGTCAGCAGAGTATGAAGATTTCTTGCTTCCTGGTTGTTGTGGCGCTGTGTAGTCTGGTAGCAGTTTACGAACGTTTCAGAGGTCATGCTGCCTCCGTCATCAGAGTCTGAAGATTTCCGTCTTCTGGGTTGTTGATCTGTTTAGTCTGGTCGAGGTTTACCAACGTTTCAGAGGTTATACTGCCTCCGTCAGCAGAGTATGAAGATTTCTTGCTTCCTGGTTGTTGTGGCGCTGTGTAGTCTGGTAGCAGTTTACGAACGTTTCAGAGGTCATGCTGCCTCCGTCATCAGAGTCTGAAGATTTCCGTCTTCTGGGTTGTTGATCTGTTTAGTCTGGTCGAGGTTTACCAACGTTTCAGAGGTTATACTGCCTCCGTCAGCAGAGTATGAAGATTTCTTGCTTCCTGGTTGTTGTGGCGCTGTGTAGTCTGGTAGCAGTTTACGAACGTTTCAGAGGTCATGCTGCCTCCGTCATCAGAGTCTGAAGATTTCCGTCTTCTGGGTTGTTGATCTGTTTAGTCTGGTCGAGGTTTACCAACGTTTCAGAGGTTATACTGCCTCCGTCAGCAGAGTATGAAGATTTCTTGCTTCCTGGTTGTTGTGGCGCTGTGTAGTCTGGTAGCAGTTTACGAACGTTTCAGAGGTCATGCTGCCTCCGTCATCAGAGTCTGAAGATTTCCGTCTTCTGGGTTGTTGATCTGTTTAGTCTGGTCGAGGTTTACCAACGTTTCAGAGGTTATACTGCCTCCGTCAGCAGAGTATGAAGATTTCTTGCTTCCTGGTTGTTGTGGCGCTGTGTAGTCTGGTAGCAGTTTACGAACGTTTCAGAGGTCATGCTGCCTCCGTCATCAGAGTCTGAAGATTTCCGTCTTCTGGGTTGTTGATCTGTTTAGTCTGGTCGAGGTTTACCAACGTTTCAGAGGTTATACTGCCTCCGTCAGCAGAGTATGAAGATTTCTTGCTTCCTGGTTGTTGTGGCGCTGTGTAGTCTGGTAGCAGTTTACGAACGTTTCAGAGGTCATGCTGCCTCCGTCATCAGAGTCTGAAGATTTCCGTCTTCTGGGTTGTTGATCTGTTTAGTCTGGTCGAGGTTTACCAACGTTTCAGAGGTTATACTGCCTCCGTCAGCAGAGTATGAAGATTTCTTGCTTCCTGGTTGTTGTGGCGCTGTGTAGTCTGGTAGCAGTTTACGAACGTTTCAGAGGTCATGCTGCCTCCGTCATCAGAGTCTGAAGATTTCCGTCTTCTGGGTTGTTGATCTGTTTAGTCTGGTCGAGGTTTACCAACGTTTCAGAGGTTATACTGCCTCCGTCAGCAGAGTATGAAGATTTCTTGCTTCCTGGTTGTTGTGGCGCTGTGTAGTCTGGTAGCAGTTTACGAACGTTTCAGAGGTCATGCTGCCTCCGTCATCAGAGTCTGAAGATTTCCGTCTTCTGGGTTGTTGATCTGTTTAGTCTGGTCGAGGTTTACCAACGTTTCAGAGGTTATACTGCCTCCGTCAGCAGAGTATGAAGATTTCTTGCTTCCTGGTTGTTGTGGCGCTGTGTAGTCTGGTAGCAGTTTACGAACGTTTCAGAGGTCATGCTGCCTCCGTCATCAGAGTCTGAAGATTTCCGTCTTCTGGGTTGTTGATCTGTTTAGTCTGGTCGAGGTTTACCAACGTTTCAGAGGTTATACTGCCTCCGTCAGCAGAGTATGAAGATTTCTTGCTTCCTGGTTGTTGTGGCGCTGTGTAGTCTGGTAGCAGTTTACGAACGTTTCAGAGGTCATGCTGCCTCCGTCATCAGAGTCTGAAGATTTCCGTCTTCTGGGTTGTTGATCTGTTTAGTCTGGTCGAGGTTTACCAACGTTTCAGAGGTTATACTGCCTCCGTCAGCAGAGTATGAAGATTTCTTGCTTCCTGGTTGTTGTGGCGCTGTGTAGTCTGGTAGCAGTTTACGAACGTTTCAGAGGTCATGCTGCCTCCATCATCAGGGCCCGTGAAACGTTGGTAAACTTCTACAAGGCACTACAATGCAATAAAAACAAGCATCTTCCTCATGCTGGTTGTTTAATGTGGCCTTTGGTCTTTCGGAACGCCGTGCCTTACCAGAGCACGTGTCTCTGTTGTCTCCCACGCGAACGGTTCAACGTATTGCACCCGGAAGAGACCGGTGTGGGAGGACAGGTAGACTCCGGCCCGAAATGTTCTTCGCAGTTTTGTGAATGTCAGGATTGGATAGAGAATCAGTTTACGTTCCCAGTGAGGAAACAGAATTTCACAGTTCGTTGTGTTTTTTCAGTTGCCTTGTTGGGATAAATATTCGAAACATATGAACAGGTGATTTTCAAAACTTATTAACGAAATAAATTATTTTGAGGTTTATTATTGTTACACATTCTTTGTCACCACGTCTGTTACTGGACGAAATTTTTGGTCCCAGTACGGGGGCGAACCTGGGCCCCACGCTTCGGGGGATATCAGCTTATTGACATCAAGAAAATTGAAATACTTCGCGCTCATTACACTTTAAGTGTCCAAGAACCATATTTAAATATTTTAATCTTATTGTAATCTTAGAACAGATAAGAATATACTCTTTAATAAATGTAAGGTTTGGCCCTTGTAATATTAAACTTGCAGTTTACGGGCTTTTTTTTTCTGACCGCTTCGCCCCGAGCTCCAATCCCCTCTAGGGACGCTTCTGACTATAAGCCATGAAAAGGCATTGATAAAATTTAATTTTCCTTCTATGAAGTTGGCAGGAACTTGTCGAAGCTTATATCTCATTTGCTTTTCCAAAACCCACCAACTACGAAATATCTAATTCTTCAAAACAAAAATAAAGTTAAAGAACAACTGTTGGGGCTTTGTGGACGATTTGTGTTTTGATGAAAGTGCAGATGACCCGCCTCGTTCGCGGGTTTCCACATCGCGTTTTGTCGTGGTAATAATTGTTCATCGCGGCGTAGGTCCCTGTCTCACGCGCAGGCGCACGGAACAGATATCAGGTGATTGCCTGCCAGCGCTGAAAAAAAGGCCTTTAGATGACTGATGACTTTATCGATTTTTTTTATGTTTACCATTTCATGTATGAGTTGCCTGAAATTTAAACGCGAAATGGAAGTTCCACTAAGTCTTTTGTGCCCCTCTCCAACATTCATTCTTTGTAGTTCGATCGCACTGACATCTTTCGGCCAGGAACGCCAACTTCAGTCCAATAAACACCAGCACGCCCCGTATTAGCAAGTAACTATGCATATTGATTCAATTTTTCGTGTGTTATTCCCCCATTATACACAATATTTGTTAAACCGATCATGCAAACTATTATAGCGGCAGTGAAGATGAGGTAGGTACGTGACCGGAAACCCATGTGAAGAAAGAAAGATGGCCGAACGTAGATTGAACTCATCACTGCGTGACAGGCGAAGGAGACGCTAAAAACGTTTTGAGACCGATAGAGCGATGAAGTTGCAATCTGAGTCAGGATTGAGGTCAGTGGTTGCTCTTGTGATAAACCTTCGAGTTCAGGAAAGACCGGAAATTTCTTACCTACCTGACGCACTGCTTCTCAAGGCCAACTGGTCTATGGAGTTAAGAAAACAGAACTTTATGTAATATCTCAATTCTCGCGTTCGTGCTGTGTGTCCTGTCTTGTAGTCTCTCTTTGTAACTGTGAATGCAGAGAATACAAATTATGACATTTTCTTAAGTTACTCTTTTATTTCGTCTTCCTAGATTTAAATATTCTTCTCAGCATTTAGTATTCTAACCTAACTTCTGTTTGCTCATCCCTTGATGCGAAACTAAATTTTACTTGGAAATAAGGCAACAGGTAAACTCATTCCAAAGGGCTGTAGGTATGACTTGGGGAGATTGAGGGTTTTAATTTTAATTTTTTTTTTTAATTTAAAATTACTTTAAAGTCTGTTCAATCAGAGAGTTACAGGAAACCAATTCAGAAAGTTTTCAGTTTTTCAAAACAAATTAACAAACAGACCTACTAGTTTATCTGCTGTTGGGTATTGTTGTGGAACGGTATTTTACTAGTGGATCTTGAATTAGGAAAATGTTATGGCAGTTTAATTGAGGAAATCAAAATTATGTGAGTGGAGAAAACAAGAAATGTATATAGAGTTTTAATACATAAACCTGTCTCAGAGCAAGCATTGTGAAGATCGAGGGGACGATATATCGATAATTTAAAATGTATAATTTTGAAGCAGATTTTAGATGTGAATTGGAACTGAACTTACTTCAGGGTTTGTTTCTGTGAATGCCATGGCAGACAGTTATTCAAAGAGATCCTGAAGATATTGTTCATTCATCACGACGCTGCATAATTATTATTATCTTCCTGTTACTCACTAAAGTTATGTAACCCGAGCTCGCTTCCGGTCCCAATTTGTAACGCGACCTTGTCACCCGGGGTCGCAGTATCACAGAATGGAAAAAATGAAAGCTTTCGATAGAGCACGTCCTTGAACATTTAACCATACGTCGCAGAATCGGATGCAATTAATTATCAATACTTTGTTTATATGGTTTTAAATTTACTATACAATTTGACCTCAGCAGTAAGAAACTCTCTCAAGGGATTGCGAGACCCAAAAATAATATTTTTACCACAGTGTTTGAAAACACAGTGCTTAGGAGAATATTAATAACAAATAACTTCGTAAATTTTACTCTGCATATATTCTGGACGGAAACCCCCAGGAAAAGAGAGTACTTGGAAAACCTAGACGTAGATGACAGGACATATAACTTATTGAAATTTATATTTGAGAAATTGGGTGTGCGAATGTTGGCTTCACTGAATAGGATCAAAATGGGATAAAATGGTGGAAGGCGGTATAAAACTTCGAGTTCCATTCCAACACATTCCGCGCTGAAATTTCTTGACGAAAATTTCAGGTCACTTCTTGTTGCTGCGGGCGGAAGGCTCCGGGCCCCGGGAGGTGCACGTATGGAGCCCAATGTTCTTGGGCACTCGGCAACAGCAGTGCCGCCTCGAGGTGTGGCTATACATGTCAAACATGTCGCGCTCCACGTTGCGTCTGGTGAGCAACTCCACCAAGCAGTGGATCGTGAAGGAGGTCCGTGGTAACAGCAACAGATTGTGGGAGATGGCTCGTTACACTATCGGACCCATCCGTCAGAACTTCAGCCTCATACTGGAAGTAGTGTCGGAGGATCCCGCTCCTGCGCTCATGGCGCTGGACAATCTACGGCTCGTCGACTGTTTCAATAGTGAGAACCATGACAGTCACTTTAGTAGTGTTTTGTTAAGTTCCAGGAAACGTAACATTACTGATCTCCCTGGATTACAGTATAACATTTTACAGTAAGTAAACTGATTCCCCAGGAACGTAATCTTACGTTTAATAGAGTGTAACATATTTCCTGTGATCATAATATTACGTTTGGCAGGGATTTACCAGAAACGGAAAATCAGTCCTACTTTTCGCGGAGTTTGTGTCGATTTACCACGAAAACTAACATTTTTTTTCTTTACAATTCATGCTGATATTTCGAAAACAGGATATTACATTCGGCAAAGTGGAAAATTTGTTCAATGAACTGCAATAATAAGGTCTGAGATTTGAGCTCTAGTGGCAATAAGATGTCATTGGTGATCTGCGTTACGAAACTAAGTAGTGTAGGTTGTTCGGCATGAAGACAGAGACAACCACATGTCATAACCCAGAAGACCAACTGAATATTGCATTTTGCTCTGTGTGTGTCCGTGCACGGCTACAGATTGATGGAACCATAACATTGTGTTATGTGGCATATATCCTGATGCAAGTTATTCGCTGTTCGCAGTAACTTCTTTGAAAATTCCAGAATTTTATCAACATAGGCCATATGGTGATATGTATATGATAATACAATGCAGTGCATAAGATCAGAATAAATATAAAAAGAAATGTTCACACAATAAAACATTAAAAAAATATTAAATAATTTCTAATGCTGCTGGCAGTCTGTCCCAGTATCAATAAACCGTTTTGGACCCCAGTTAGTTTTGGAGAGTTTGTGTACCACCATTATAATGACAATTTTTGTAGGATATTAAAGTGTTACGTAATTTTTATCTAATACATTTCACATAATTATCCTGTTAATTCTACATTATCTATGAGTTAACTTGGCATAACAAATGAAAATGTATCCGTTCGCGAGCTGTGAGGTTTTTATAGTGGTAAAAACCAGAATCATGGTCTTTTGGGTTATGATTCCATTGTAGATGGTTACGAATTTTTTTAGGAATATGCCACCTCCATCCTCAGTTATCAAATTTGAACCTCCCACAGCAATTGAACACAATAAAATATTTTTGAATGATTATTCATTTTCAAATGACTAACTTAGAAAAATTCATTGCATGGAAGTTGTACATTCCTGTGTAACCAGTAATAACCAAGAAATCAAAAATCCTCATAGTATTTTCTTTCATTCCATAGTTGTTCAATGTAAATATTTAATATTTTTATGTTTAGTTTGTTTTGTCAGTCGTAATGTCTGCCTGCCATTTGGGAGACATTGAATTTCAGTCCTGGAATGGTTATCCTAGAATTTTTTTTTTATTCCGTCCTTAAAGCCACAAATTCTTCCCTTCACATCCAAGAAGAACTTTGACAACTTCATCGCTGTGAGAATTTCAAATCTAATTTATGAGCATTTGAATTACAATGAACTAATATGGACTGGGACTGAATGTAATACCAAATTTGATCAAAACATATTCTCTGGGTTGGAAGATGATACATGCAAACATGAATGACAGATAAGATCTGCAAATTATTAATTTATTTCATGCATTTCGTCAAAGTATACCAGTCCAGAACCCCTGTAACTGTTGTAATTGAAATTTGAACTGGTCAGCAAATCACGTGTGAAAGATCCCACGCTAGCAAATCACGTGTGGAGGTTCCCATGATAACAAGGTATCTGCAAGTTAGGTCATGAACACGTGCAATACCATAGTGGACACAGTCGACAGCGGGCTTTCAGCCAGTGTACAAAACTTTTGTACCAGTTATGGAAAGTGGTGTATAAGATTACCCAAATTTCAAAAGTAAAACTATTTTGTGTTCTTTAATTTGTTGTTCCTGTGTTTATTTATATACATAAAAAATTACCACGTCAACCCTGAGGTGATCCTTGTTCCCCACTGACTCTAGTTCGGGATATAACTATCTCTTGCCCCCGGAACAAAGAAAGTATAGAGGATAGTTATAAAAGAATGCAGAGAAATTGATAATGCAGTGCTTACATACGGTGTTGAATTACGTAAATGTTTGTGTTCAGACGTTGCAGCACTGGATGCGAATGAAGCCTACAAGTTCTTGTGCTCCAACAACGTGTCTATCAACAGGCAGTACGTGTGTGATCTGCATAAGGACTGTCCGGAAGGCGAAGATGAGGAACAGGACTGTGGTAAGTGCAGCCGTTGATTTCGTCTTGAAGGAACCACTAATAGTTTGTTAATCACGATTAGTCAGCTTTATCTACTTTCAGATATCAAATTACATGGTTATAATTAATTTAGTGGTAAAATATTCCATGGTTTTAAAATAAAACAAGTATAAATTGATATACAGTGGGTTCTGGTTAATCACGACTCATTGGGACAAGAACACTTTGGCCCGATTATGCGAAGTTCGACGTAAAGAGTTAGGTTAGGTTTGTGCTTTAAGATTTTTCTCAAATGGCTGCCCTGATGAACCGACGGCCGAATTAACCGGAATCTACTGTATAATTATAAATGAGTAATTTATTGGTGAGTTGATTAAGGTTGAATGGTTGAGTAACCAAACATTTTAAGCACTTGGTGGCCCTGATAGAGATAAATGCTGATGTTTTCAGACAAACTTCCGTCATACTCACACTGCACATTTGAGGATGGCTTGTGCGGTTGGTATGACAAGAATACGACGTGGATTCGACAGAACGGCTCATTCGCCAGTGGTCCTAATGTGGACCACACATACCAGAATGAATCAGGTCAGTTTGTCTAGCATGTCGTGGATGCGTCCATTGCGTCTACTACAAACTCAGGGCCTTGCGCGTCCAGTGTATTGTGAAACGTCTCAGGCCTGTCTATTTTCCATAGACTGGTCATACTGAAACATCTCGGTGCCTCCCACTATCTTCATTCATCTGCATTTTGTAGTTATCTGCCCTACGCAGAATGTGACTTTAATGCTACATGGTCTGATCATGTGTGGCGGTCATGTCGGAATCATTTTATCTGTTTGTCTTGATCTACGCTGCAGGAATCCAATGAAAGTGAACTTTATTATTTAGTATTAGTCATGCATGAACATGTGCTTTTAAGTAGACCAAGCGTTGCGTTACTGTTTAAACCTTCCCACTGACTCAGTGGTCTTATTCTGATGTTTTCAGTTTGCGGCGAGTTCTTATATGATTTTCGCCACATAACACAAATAAAGGTGTCCAGCATTGATCTATTAAGAGTGTCACAGAAGTCTTTGTACGCATCTTTGTTTCCTGGGTGGGTATGTTAGAGGATTATGTTTGTAGATATCAAAGCAAGAGATGCGAAGTCTCCAAGAAACTGGCATGAAGAGATGAAATCCAAATCCAGACAGAATGTGGAGACGGTAACTGAGTAACTTTATCGAGTGCGATTATTTTTGAAAGGCTGACAAACATTCAGACGGTGAAGAAATTTTCTGCCTTTCGTGAGTCACTAAGATTCATTATCGTATTCATAAGACTGCTCCTTATCCTAATCCAAAGAATGTAGTTCACACCCTCTATTTTTGTCGAGGTGTCTGAAGTGGTATTTTCCCTTTAGGTTTTTCAGCCCAAAATTATCTGTGCATTTCTCCTCTTATATCCTGCTTATATCGTCCTCCTTGTATTTATGGAGGTCTGATGATTCTTTGCAGGTGTGTATTTGTATGTGAACGTGTCAGATTCACACATGGGGACAGGTTCGATCCTCGAGAGTCCAATATTCCACCCCCCACCCTGTTACCACAGTGGGAATGATAAGCTGTATAACAACAGCTGCAGGGTGAGTTTGCAGAGAACGAGCTTGTGGTGAGGGTGGAAACACGATTCCTCATCAGTTACTTCTTGGCAGAGCCCATAAGAACTGTATTTTAAAACTGCCTTTAGGAGTTCATAATTATGGGCTGTAGAATATTCTTGCAGCTGTTTATCCAAATTTGAAGTTTTTCCTGCACGTATAAAATCCATTATTTTTAAAAAAAATTGGAATCGTACATATGTTTTTGTGTGTACAAGGCTGCCACACTTTTTTATGTTGTAGGCAGGCATAATTTTGTATAAAACTTTGTCTAATTTGATATATCGTAAACATAAATCCTGAGAACATTTTTTTGTAGGAAGTAGCTGTTGAAGTAATATTACAGTTCTTGCGTTTTCAAGTTTCTATATTTTATATTCTTTTCTGTTTCAAATTCCAGAGTTTTGTCATATATTTGTAGAGAAAATATGCAAACAGATTAAGATTTTCTAGCATGGAATTGCTGCAAATTAATGTTTAAGAACTTGGCTGTTAAACACAGCACCTATCATAAGTGAAGCTTTCGCAGCGACTAAAGTTGATGAAAGAGTCTCGGGTTACAGGCGACGTCATGTGGCTGAATGGGAACCCATCAGTAAGCACGTTACAAAGGATCGGATTTGCTACACAGCAGCTCTGAGGATGAGAGCAGAGATTGTTCTCGAAACGGCAGAAGATACGGTTTATTCACCATTGAGCCACCTGACGCGGCTTGTAACCCGAGAGTCTGTCATCAACACCACCTATTGACGTATTAATCAGTAATCAAAGAAAAATTGTT